AGCGTAATAATCCAGTTACATTCACACGAGACAGTGATTACCTTGCATGTGATAAGTGATTTATATGTGTAGTTTTTTATTGTTGGGCACTGTACTGCACTGCACTAGCTGGAATGGGTTATTTCCAGTTGTGAATTGATTAGAATAAACTTTCGCTTCGCTTAACTTTCTAGAATCATCTCCACTCGAAGAACAGTGTATGGCAGATTGCATTAGCAGTGGGTCTGAAAATGAAGAAGTGGCTGACTAATTTTCAGTTTGAATTACGAGAAGTATCTGAATTCTTTTAAAGAATCTATCGTTAGGTTTAAAATTATTCGCTAATTTGGTAAAGTAGACCAAAATGTTTACAAAACCGCTAACAAGAGCGCCTTGATACGTACTAATCAAATCCCTCTTCCCAGCAATCGGTGCAGAGCTGTCTCCACGGTCTTTCACTCACGTTTTTAAATAGATTAAAACTACTATGAGGTTAAATTGCATGTCAAAAGCGCTTAGCTTTCTACAGATTACGGCCAAACATCAAGATTTTCCTTTTCTTACAGTATGTCTTCGATAAAAACTTCACCCCAAAATATCTCGATAACGCTCTGACTTACAGATTCTGCTTAAACTTCACGAACATCGAGGCGACCGTATTGGCGAAAAAAGCTCCTGTGAACGTTTTGTAAGGTTCCCAATGCCGAGAATTATTGCTGAAGTAAAATAGGTAATGGCGTTACTTCTATGCTATGACAACTCCGATGTCATTGCAACCCTGATCATGACAAATTTTCATCTTAACACAACTGTGGTGGCAATTTTTCCAAATGCTTGTTTATGGCGACATAGTTTATACTCAAACTTGGTATTGACCCTGAAAACTAACTCTATCAAGCCACCTTCATATGCCAGTACGGCCTATGTTGTTGTAATACGGCCCTCCTTTCTTTCCGACTCTTTCGTAAAAATTTGGGCAACCTGCGAGATTTTTTTGGGCAAATGGTTTACCGCCCCCCCTGGCCAAAAATTTCCCGTACGCCTATGACAGGGAACCTCGTAGCTGAATGCAGGTCCGCCTTAACATAGCCTGCGTAGCAAGCGTTTCCAATCGAGTTATTGCGCAAAAGTTAGAGCGTAAGCAAAAAAAGGTCGAAGGGGGAGGGGGAGAGGAGAAGAGGAAACGCTTGCCCGCAAACCCCACGATTCTGGAAAACGCCCCTTGATATTTCACGGTTCGGTTCATTTGTAAATTGACAGCTCGTCAAAATAGAAACATAACGAACAGATTACCCCTGGATTACCAGATATGTAAAATTTTTCAAAATCGTGGGGTTTGCGGGCAAGCGGTTCCTTCGTTCCCCTCCCCCTCCCCCGTCATTGATTTTTTTTTGCTCTTGTCCCAGCTTTCTAGACGAACCTCGCGAGGAAACGCTTGCTACGCAGGCTAGCCTTAACATGTCGATCGGAAAGCCACGTTGGTCATGTGACAACCAATTTTACCTTTATTGGGGTTATCACTTCATGCCGTCAGCCTCTGTGGGGGAGGGGGGGGGGAAGAGTAGTCAACAAACGTTTTTACGGGGAGGCTCATCCTGGAGGTCATCCTGGAGGTCGAACCTCCACTAACAGTCACCTCTATACAATAGGCACTTTTTTGGTGGCCAGTCCATGCATTGACTCTTGTTTAAACCTCTCTAAAACGGCTACTTGCTTCTGTCCTCAAGGTGGCCGTTGTGGGGAAGTTCAACTGTACACCATTTTTGACTAAAAAAAAAACCCTTCTGTATACCGTCCATTGAAAAATGTTACCATTTAAACATACCTATTAATAAGAATAAAACAGAAAGTCGTTTTCGTATTACGTGAAATAAAAGTACAATGATGTAGCCATCCATAAGGAACCGCTGTTCGAGGCATTTTATTAAGACCTTTCAAATACTTAAAGATTTTGTTACCCTTTCAAACACTTCAACTCGTGAATTCCTTACCCTTTGATATCCTTGAAGGGTGGTGCCCCCCGTACCTCCTGGGGGCTTCAGCTTTCTGCCTTGTGAAAAAGGTAGCTTGCTATATACTCCAAAAGGAATGCATCGCAAACAGCGCTTCGCAATCTTTTTAATAGCTACAGGAAAGCAGCTTTAACTTGTAATCAAAGAAAACGTTAGATTGGACACTTCAAATAGCGCCCTTATGGCTAAACGTTAGGGATCTTTGAGGCATACTATACAGAGGCGGATCCAGGGGAAGGGTTGAGGGGGTTGCAAGCACCCTACCCCCCCCCCCCTTGGGAAGATTTCAAACTTGTCTGGTTACCCATGTCTATCCCTTTCTCATACCAAAAATAATATTATAAGTTATAATATAAGTTCCAGTCCAATCGATCATTACAAGAAGACTGTAGTTATTCCTCTTATTGACTCCTTCATTATCCAAATGCAAGATCGATTTTTTGACGAAGATCACCACGCCGGCCATCTGCTTTGTCTCGTGCCATCGATTAGATGAGCCTTTACAAAGGCTTCGAATATCCCGTCAACCTCGAATCTCTTGGAGTAGTGGATAGCGATCATTGCAAGATCAGAGAGTCGCTCCATTGTTGACCTAGAACAGGTCTTGATTCATTTTATCAGTGAAAAAAATCGCTCAGCTTCTGCGCTTGTTATCAGTAGGGTGCAGACAACGACCAGAAGGACTGATAGATGTTTGGTAAAGCATCTCAATCGCAAACATTAAATGCTAATGAAATGTTGTTGGAAGCTCCCTATCTGACTGACAGAGTGTTTTCCATTCACGTACCTCATTTCCAAGCGATTTGAGAAATGGAATGTTTTTCTCCCAGAACAACATGCCTTTTATTTCATCCGATCCAGCTGCAGTGCTTTATTTACTATAAGAAGGCTCTTTCAAGCTAGTCTGTTTGATTAAATAGGCGGGTAACAAAGAGACAAACAACTATCATTGTTGCAATGTACTCTTAGTCCTTAATAACTGTCAGTGTCAATAACAAAATGCTTGAATCTGATTGGTTCTTAACAGCCCATATTTATAGCTTAATTTTGCTACTGTAACTCGAAAAACTGTCCGATTTGACCTGTCCGATTACCAGGAGCTTGTAATCGGACAGTCAAAGAACTAATGAAAATCAAGATTTGCTACTACCATTAGCCAATGAAATTTGACCACATAGCACATGATAACCAATCAAAATCAGTAAAAAAATAGTGACCAGGTAAGCTGTCCAGCTTCAACTGGAAAAGAAAAATGGATGAAACTAACTAGTCCAGTTATTTAGTTGTTTACATTAATAAATTAATATTCCAAGACTGAGATTCTCGCATTTTGTTACTGACACAATTAATCGGTGATAGGACTTCGTGTCATACAATTCAGGGGTAATCGGGCTCATAATTTCAAATCGGCCGAGCGTGTGAAATTACTCGCCAATTACTCCCTGAATTGTACTCTGGTCTGTCCTATTACCATTACTAATAGTGCCTCAAATTCCTCTGAAATCAAAATGAAGAAAATCTACATATTCAAACATAATCCTAACCCTCTCCACCCTCCACCCTCCCCCATTCCCTTGGCCCTGGGACGTTTGCCTTTAACTCTCAAACTTAGAACCCCCTCTTTGAAAAAATCCTGGATCCGCCCCTGAACCCAAGTGCACTTCCCACCATAAACAAGCCTTTAAACCTCTTTTTTTTCATAGAATAGTGATGCAAATAGCCTGTTACCCTCTGTGGCCTTAAGCTACAAATATGCATTTACTGTTGCAAGTTTAAGCGTGAGAGGAGACTGAGGAGATCCGCTCTGTCTTCAAACTCCCATCTTCAGGAAATTACTTCTTCCTGTCAATGGTACATGTACCTCAGCTCCCATAACAGCCATTTGTTATTTTTCCTGATCACTATTTGCCTAGAAAGAGCCAAAACTGCCCAAAATGTCAAACTTGAAACTTGATCTGAATGGCAACATGATTATTGCACTAATCTCTTAATCTCTTAATAGCAACTGTCATGGCTTTGATTTCATTGGAAATACCCAAAGAGACTCTCAGTTTAAGAAAAACATGAAAAAAAGAATTATTGAATTCTTATAACTTTGGCAGCATGTCACAAAAAGTGACTGTAACCCAAACAAAGCATAATTATTTTAACTTTACCTTTTAAAGGATGCCTTGTAGGTATCCCACCTCCTTTTCAAGTCGAGCCATTTCCAGTTCAAATTCAACTGCTGATTCAGTTTCCACGTTAGTCTTTTTTATTAGATCTTTCACTTCATTTCCATACTCGGAGGCAGCTTCAGCAAGTGGTGAACACAAGTGACCAAAGTGTTCAAGAGCGACGTATTCCCTACAAACTGCATGACATTTCTCATCAAAAACCGGAATTTATCATTGTGTTTTTGGTATATAAGGGAAACAGAAGCAAGCTGAGGGTTTGCTTCCAGTTCCTCAAGGGAGACAACTTGATGATCGCGACTTGCCTTGTTACAGGTATGAAACTGAGCCGCAGTTTTGCACATGTTTTCTTTGCAGTCAAGGCAGCAGAAATTTGCAGCGTGCTTCTCACCACAAGCTTCACAATCATGTGAGCCTGTATTACTCCCAACATTTTCGTTGGGTGTGTCATTCACAATGTCCAATAATGCAAAATTCTTTAACAGTCCTTCCACTCTAGTAGGAACAGCACCCAGATTTGTGCATGTGGGACAATCAATGGTGTTACCATGGAGAAGTCTCTCCAGACAGCTTGAGCAGAAGCTGTGTCCACAACTCAGAAGCCGAGGACACTTGCTTTGGTCATTGTAATGTTCAAAGCAGACTGAACACTCTGGTATCTTTGATGTCATTGCCTAAAATGAATACACAATCAATAATTTGCACAAATGAATAAAAAAGTAAGTTTAATTAAAAAGTAAAATGAAAAGAAAAAAAGGGATCATGCAAATTCAGCATGTTTTAGTCAGCTGTTTTCATTGCTTTCATCAGCATCACTGTTCAGTTGCTGGTACTCTTCCCTCCCCAGTATTATTATTTTGGAGGAGCCTTTCTGCATATTAGTTGGACAATGTTATTGAAAGATGAGATAGAGAATAGGACATTGAGAAGACATATGACGAACAACCATGGACTGAAGCACATGAAGCCAATATGAAAATTCTTAGAAAACAGATGAAGCTGCCCCTCACTTGATCTACAGCTCCATTTATAAACCTACTGATAGTTCACAGCTGTACATCAGATATAAAAGTGAGTCAGTCATTTTACAAACTAAGTAACTATGACAAAGTTAAAGGTACCTTAAAATGAGCCTCTAAGACAGTTACATTGTACCCCATAAGGCAGGAAGTATGTTCTATTCAATAACATTTTAAAAGAGTACCTTAAGAGTAGCCATAGCTGATTTATAAGTGTTTTATTCTGTTTTATGATGAGTGGTCAGTACCCAAGTGGCTGTTCTATGCAATTGGGCTTGAAACCTTTGCCATCTCAAGTGGTGGAGGTGGTGGAATTTGATAACCATAGTCCTTTAGGGGAGGGGGTTTGGGGGAGGGAATTAGGGGGCCCATGCTTAACGGGAAGGGGGCAGAATTTTAACCAAAGCCCCTGTTTCAAGTGACATGCAGAGGCACTACTGACCAATTTCAAAGGAAAAGATTGAAATGCTAATAAAAGTAGTGACTTAAAGATTTTAATTAGGCATTGACGCATATATTTTTGCTCCCAACAAAATCCAGAGGAGAGGCTCAGGACTGGGAAAAGGACGGAAAAAATTTTTTGTGAGACCGGCACCTAAGACTGCCCCCCTCCCCCCCTTACCTCAGGGTCTGGATGACTGGGCCCACCCCCACTTTTCTGAAGATCTGGATCTGCCACTGCAGAGGTAGAAGCACTTTTGTTAATAAAATGAATGAAACTTTCTCATCTTAAGTGGATCCAACCAGGCCGGTTATACAATGCATTAGCAGGGGTTTCAATAAGCACCAACGACCGATGAAATGCGTCGGCTGCTTTGCTCAGAGTAGTCGGCTACTTTTTTCCCCAAAAAAGAAGCAATTCATGAGTTTTAAAAATGTCGTAAACAAAAAATATATCATTAAATCAGAATTAAAACGTAAGTTCATTATGATTTGCTGTCAAGGTCCACTGATATGTTATGCTTTAGTTACACCAGAAGCGCTTTTGGTTACACAAACGCTGTTCTGTATTTCAGTTAATTTTTCCCACGTTTCTTGGGTCTTTCTTTGTAGGTTTACACAGAATTTGTTTATGTGCAAATTGTACTTAATTTTGAATATTGACATTTGTTCATTGCTAGTAAGAATTGATTGTGCGGCTATGATTAAACATGAATGAAAGTTATATTTTCTTGAATGAAAAACACGCTCTTCTGTTTACACTTTAGTCCCTGGAACATTGGAAATCGCATTTTAGGGGTTTGAAATTCCAAAATTTTCTGGGGGGAGCATGCTCCCAGACCCCCTAGAAGAAGGGAACTAACAGCCCCTAGTTGGTACAGTCGGTTACTCTATTCAAACCTGCTGGCTACTTAAATTATTATTGAAACCCTGCATTATGCATTAACGCATTATGCATTAGCCTGTGAACAGGCCTTTGGTCGAGTGGGGAACTGGGGAGAGGGAAAAGCGAAAAGGCCTGTAGACAAACATTTGGGACCACCGTTCCACGGCACCCACTGTGCATCAGATCCTGATGCAAGCTACTATTGGCGAGAACACTGACTGTTGATTGACATCGGCTTTTCGGTCGGCACGTAGCACGCGATTTGATCACAAAGTGGCAATAACAAAACAGTCCAAAGACTGATAAGCTTATCCAAAAGCTATTTACTAACCAAGGCATGAACTACGCGCTCCAGACAAAAGACTCACACTATCTTTAGAAAAACACTAAGTTGAAGTTTACCGAGTCACAATGAAATTCTCCATAGTCGATGCGCATGCTGCTTCGGTTTAAGCTGCACTTCAACCTTATAATTTTGGATCTGTAAATCACTATACGCGATAATTTTTAAACATTCTGCAAAGAAAACTAACGAGCTGGGCCCAGCATGATACAACATTGCAGAAAAACATTACATTCACGGACCAAAGTATATCGCTTAGTTATTCAGATCCAGAAGGCACTTTGGAGAAAAGTAAGACCCTTATTCATGCACCTACAATAAAAAGCTTTAAACTTCAAAAGAGGTCAAAGAGAAATAATGCTCTTGCATCAGAAGGCAAATCCTGCCAACCAGAAACAAAAACCACAGTAAATCGATATGTGTGCCATGACCTCTCAGTGAGATACAAGCGGCTAAAATCACATTTGCTCAGTGAAAATGTAGAACCTTCCAGAGTATAATCTACCCAGCAGAGGAAAAAACTTGTGGGAACAAGCAGCAGTTTGGCATGAGGTAAAAGCCGTGAAGACCTACCTATAAATACCCAAAGGTGTAATTCCTGTCGGCGATTGAAGCGCTGTTGATCTCTTTGTACTGGTCTTCGGAGCTTCACATTCTGGAGAAGATGATAGTACCTGTACCTTTCACATTCCAAGTTCGCTCACTGCAAGGGCTTGTTAAATTAGAAACTGAACTAGCAAGATGAACAGCCTGTTGTGCACAAGTTAAGCAGCTTAAATCAGAAAAGCTTTCTCGTTGCTCAAGTGGAAATCTTAAGGATTCAAATGCTTGCAAGCGCTAGTACAACGCTGTCTTGACCACTGTCAACCAGCAAGGTCTTATTTCTTGAAATGCCAAAGACCAGCATCGTATTAATTCTCCTACCGGAGATCAACGCCTTTTTGCAAAATGGACAATGACACTCGCGCTCCATTTTCACTCTGTTTTCAGATGGAGCAAAACACCGCTCATTTTCCTCTGATTTGTCCATGTGCAAAATTGATTGACAGATAACGATCTTACTGACAGACGATTGGCAGGATAATTACAAGAGGGCGGAATAGCGGCCTCAAATGTTTGTCTACAGGCTCTACCCCCCCCCCCCCCCCCACCTTTCCCTTCCCTTTCCTCACAAGTTAGCTATGCATAATTATGCAAGACATAAACAGTATCCCATTTGTTTATTTACGGCAAATAAGGCCTCAAACTGAAAAAAATAAACATTTCTTGATGTAAAGCTTGCATTTAAATGATAAAGTAATCAGAGAACTTGAAAATCAAAATTTTCGAAACAAATATTAATGTAAGCTTAAATGTGACGGCGGAGTACGTATAGATGGAGACTATGGTCGAGCTAAGCGATCGGAGAATAAGCGTGAATTACTCTATTCCACTGCCTAAAGATAAGCTCTACCTTGTATTTCTTTAAGTAAAGAAGTTATACATACCTTGAGTGAGGCAAAAGGCTCAATAAAGCGAGTGCAAGAACCTCATTGACCTTCCGCCGGCTTGTTGCGGCCGTGAACTATTTTGGTCACGTGACGATGTGAAAAACTGTTGCTCTTGGAGGGGAGGGGAGGTTGGGATTAAAGCCTGAATCTGACCAATCCTTTGGGCAACTCGTCTCCAGTATCTTTACAAGGAATAGGTTATCGGTGTGCGCGCAAATAATAATAAAAAAGCCGTATTGAGCGTTTTAACGAAAACGCCTTTTTCCTTCATGAGAAAAAAGCGTCCCGAGGTGTATTACGATTGTCACCTGGACTGATTAAACCACGGGAGGAAAACACCCATGCAGACCACAGATCATGAGCTCGGGGGATAAACAAAGTTTTATACGGGGATGCTCCGCCCAAAGGTCTAACTCCTTTTTTACCATTTTTGACAGAAAAGGTACCCCTCTCGTTTACCTCCTATTGCCGGCAAATGGTACCCGTTTCACATACGTAGCCAAGAGAGGACAGCTGCGACCTAGCTTGGAGCTCTGCATCCCTTTAAATTGCTGTAAATGCACTGTCTTTGATATATGAATAAGTCACAAAACCAAAAAGTTTTGGGGACTTCTTCACTGGTAGTAAAATGCTTCTGTTTGTCCTTTTTTAGCCTTTTTACAGACCGAAGTGACAGATTTCCCTTCCCTTTGTAGATACTTCAACTAAAGAAATGGTCACCCCTTCATATTTCTGAGGCTTAAAAAGATACCCCTTTCGGGCGGCGTCTCCCCGTATAGGCAAATACTAAGGAATAATGTATCTACTCCGCGGAAGATGATATTGTCAGCTCATTAATACAAAATCTCCAAAAACTTTCCAATTTAAAAAACAACTATTGCAGTTTCAAAAATAAAAAGTCCTTTATTTTTTAAAATGACAATACTTTGGATAAAGCCGTCGCTATAAGCTTTCAAGTAGAACATATTCAGAAAGACAAAACCTACACAGTTGAAAATTGCTGACCACAAAACCAAAGAAGAAAATTACCGGTGTTTCTCAGTTCGACAAGAACTTTGATTTGGGAATTCAAGCTTTTGTAAAAACCGTTTTTATTGATGAATAGAAATCGAATGCTCTAACTAAAGCTTGGATATTTTACCAGCTACATTTGACGACACTGCTGGAAGGGGCACCGGCGTACGGCTTCCACCGAATTTCGTTGCACTGGGCCCAGTTGTTCGAAGGCCGATCAGCGCTTAACCCGGGGTTAAATTTAACCCGGGTTTCTCTTTCTTGTGTTCAAAAGCATTTTCTGAGATAATTATCTGTGTTATTTATAGCTTCCAATCATCAACTTGTAGACAAAAAGAATTAAAACTGAACTGCTTTTTAAGCTTTCAAATCTGATTCAAATCTCGCACTAACCCCGAGGCTATCTTAACCCAGCTTTGAACAACTCGGCCCTGGCCAAGAGCTAAGTTTGCAGCGAATAAAATATGTAGGAAGAATAGTTTGTGGCTTTGTGGTTTGTTCGCGACCCCTGTCCTTTTCTGTAACTGGTCACAACAGACAAAACACCATAGACAATCCTGAAACACTTGAGGAGGAGTTAACGTTTTTTAATTTAATTAATGTTTCAGTGCCAAAATACTCATTACCCAGTATGTCTATTAACCTAGGAAGATACCCCTCAAAATTGCAAATGTCTACAATTGTACCTGTATTTAAATGCAACGACGGACCCAGATCCATATCTTGATTGTCAGACTTCAACAGTATATTTGAAAGGCTTATGTATGGGTGAATGATGAATTGCGTAAAGGAATACAATCTACTTCACTATACGTTTCCAAGTACGGCGATCGCACAGGAAATCCACTCAACATGCCAAATTAGCCCCTGGGAGGCCAATATTAATCAAGAACTATTTTCTTGCGGTGTCTTTGTTCACCTCATAAAAAGCTTTTGACATCGTTGACCACATCACAAGGCTAGACAAACGTAACTCTTACGGGTTTCTAGGATTCATCAATTAATTGTTTTCCTCATATCTAAACAGGTGTACTCAAACATCTCAAATTGGCGACTGAGCACATATGAGCAAAGCCATAATCAGCTTATGAGTTCCTCAAGCTTCCCTTTTAGGTCCTCTTCTCTTTTTGTTGCATGTTAATGTTATTCACCAGTGCCCTACAAAACTCGAACTCTATCTTTTCGGTTACGATAACAACATACACTATGCTGACAAAAATTTTAAAGCTCTTGAAACAGTTGCCAACGCTGAATTACGCAAACTCTACGATTAGTATAAGTTAAAATCTAATAACTGAACTCTCAATACACAGGCTAGCAAAACCATTTTCGCAACCTTTCATCCTAAACAAACGAGACCTGGTTATAAACCTAACATATATTTACATTTAACAACGAGGGAAATGAAAATGCTACTCTTGGATCTAAGGATTATGCATCCTCGGAGACCCAGGGGCAGATAGTGGGGGCAAGGGAAAGACTAAACGGGCGGGAAAAAATGGCGCGAAGAAAAGTAAAGAACGGCGAGAAGAGCTCGCCGTTCTTTACTTTTCTTTGCGCCATTTTTTTCCGTCCGTTTAGTCTTTCCCTTGCCCCCTATCTGCCCCTGGGTCTCCGAGGATGAGGATTGTGTTAATATTAAGTAATGGTCCGCCTAAGAACAAGAGCAGAACACAATACAAAACAAATTTCTCGGCATTTTGATTAATAAAAACCTCGCCTAGAAACATTATATATGCTGTTTCTTTAAAAATCGGTAACCCAATTTGCTAACTTGTTAACTTGGGCCATTTTATACCTTGGCAAATACTTCCTAAAATTTATCTATCACTCATTCACCCTTAAATGTCATATGGAGTTACTGTCTCAAAGACAATACAAAAAGAGCTCTTCGGATGCAATATTTTTCTCGCAGATTCAATCATGCAATACTTTTCTTATTGATCCCAACGTTTTGCCCTTGAGACTACCGTCAACTTCCGATTATAACCCCCCCCCCCCACTTAAAAGCCCCATCTTCTTATGGGCCCATCTATCTGTAAACAAAAAAAAACCGGTTTTAAGCCCCCCCCCCCCAACATACACACACACCCACACATCCCGAATATCAGCACCCATCCAGACGAATTCAAATTCAAGAAGAATTATGATCAGTACTGCTTTGTAGCTTGTTTTGAAACACCTTTTTTAGTTTGGTTACAAGCCTTCCAAATATAAGCCCCTAATAACCCTTCTAAAACCCCTTACGAAGTTGTGTGAGTCGAAAGTTTACGGTATGTCTAATCTTATGCATGTTGCGCATGAAAATAATCGGTACCATTAAACATTCTAAATCTAATCCAAAAATCTGTCAGTTGTCACTCTTAAAACAAAGAGCATCTTCTTTAGAAAATTTTTTTATGCTATTAGATCCGAACTGAAACTATATAGACTGTCTTCCTCTCGCTTTGGAGCAAAGCCGCGCGTGGAAAAATATATGCGAACTTTAATTTTTTACATTGCAATTCACCTATTTCTATTAAGGTTCCCAGTTACCTGTTGTGCTAGTTCTCACTGAACTATATTACCATTTTATTCACCTATAACTACTCTTAAACGTACGAGTCATACAACTGGCGAAACTGCATCTTGTAAGTGTTGACGGGGATTCAAAAGTAACGAGGTAGCAGGAGTCGTGCGAGTCGTGCAACGGGTAACAATCTTTGTACCCAGGGGGAGGGGGATCCAAACCTCCCGCACTGGCTCTACAAGCAAACGGAAAGCCGTGGGTTTATGATAAAGTTGAATGTAGTTCTTTGGCTGTATGATATTGGATCACATCTACTAATCTTAATGTGGTAGCTCATAAAAGAGCCTTTTTCTAAAAGAAGAGTGAAGTAACCTCCACATGCAGTTTTGGTAATCCGTCCAAGAACAGTAACTTTTGACAATCTATGTTGTAATAAACCACGTGTATTGTGCTCGGTGTTGTTGAGGTTTCGCCAATTGCTTTACTTGTACGAGTTGTACCAGTTTAAAAAGCGCCCTCTCTGCAGAAATTCTCCTGTTTCCTTAATAAGATGCAGCTAAGAAATACTAAATACTATTTCACTTTCTCACACGGTGTACCAGTGGTATGAGTTGCACACTTTCAAAACTTAACAAGGGGCTGGTACTCAACAATTCTCTTTGAGCGAGTTGCGCCGCCTGCTAAAAAGGTCTAACCTGCCTCGTTGCTGATACCGGCCACTCGTCATATTAAAATCAGGAAGGAGAAAGCGAGCAATGCCTTTTCTATCTTCTTCTCGTGGTCCCTCGCGCTTCGTCAAAAATGACCGTAGTTCATTTGTATCGGCCATGACGGAGGTGGAGGACACTGAGAACGAATAAGAGGTTAAACACTATTTACAGCAAAAGGACTGCCTTTAATGTGTGCACCTCGCAAGCACACAGACAATGTCAATTTACCATACAACTTGTCCACAGTATATTCTGCCAAGTAAGTTCCATCCTTTCGGTCGTTTAACTCTACCTTTATTTCATCTCCTCCCACCTCTGGTTCCCGTTTCAACTCAAAAACGTCGCCACCAAGCTTGCGTTGGACGTTTCGGCTGTCATGAGAAGTAATAGTGAATGTCGCTTTCCTTCCAGGGTATGCAGCTGTTATTCCTGGGCCAGTTGCAGTAGTGTTTGCTGCACAGGTTGATATGTCACTGATCTCTCCTACGCTCTGGATAATCGTCTCTATACTCTTGTAGTAACGGTACTTGATAGGCTGAAAGAGATCGTTGCATTTTACATTCTTTACAAATTCAATTTTGAAAAGCTCATTTACTAAAAAACGATTTACTTGGTACGCTTAGTCATCTTTCACTTGATGTTCTGTTTCTTAGCAGTTTTAAAATAAAATTGACCTTGCGACAACCACATTTTAAGCAACTAATGGATGAGCTCGTAGAGAAATATAGTTGTGAACTGAGAAATGCATTTTGGTGTGTGTAGTGTATCGAGCGACTACACAGCTTAAATACTCTCACGGAACACGTGTCAACAAACACATGGTTCGGACTAACAGAACAACACGACAGAGGTCACGTGACCCCTAGCAAGGTCCCAGGAACGCACATTCCTCCCCCTCAAGTTCCTAAACAATATGTGGCATCTCGCCTTGAACTAAATGTTCATGGGGGCAGGAGGGGTCCATCAGTAATAACGCTGTGGTGGTCTTCGGTCCCTAACTGGATATCGTCGCACCGGGATGGCAGGGACTAAGCTTGGGTCTTCGGGTGTAGTGGGTGACTCCAACCCCCTACAGGTTACTTCAAGGCTATTCACATCGGGTACTGCAACCTCCAGAACAAGACTTCCCTCTTTGTTATGGCCTGCCCTTTGAGCTGTTAGACTGGGGCAAAGAGGCTCTGCAAAAGGAGAAATTAATTGGTCATGATGTCTCCGAACTACCATTCCATCTTCTAGTTCGACTCGCGAAAGAGGGCCGGTTTCCTGGATGATAGTTCCAGGGACCCACTTCGACCCCCAGGAGTATTTTCGGACACTCACGGCATCACCAAGCTTCACTCCGCGCGTTCGGCTATGCTGATCATGCTGTTTCTTTTGTCTAGACTGAGCCGAATGCACCCTTGTCGCTACATCCGGTCGCGGCAGATCGAGGTGAGACCTAAGACTACGTCCCCACAGTAACTGAGCTGGAGATTCACCAGTAGTGCTTTGCGGGGTAATCCAGTAGCTTAGAAGAAAACGAGCCAACTTGGTGTCAACAGAACCGTCACCTTGTTTCTTCATCCCTTGCTTAAAGGTCTGCACCGCTCGCTCAACCAGACCATTTGTACTTGTTTGGTAAGGTGCTGAGGTAATGTGCTTGATACCATTTTTTTGCAAAAATGACTTAAATTCACTGCTCACAAAATTGGATCCATTATCGGACACTACAATCTCTGGTAAACCATGTGAAGCGAAAGTTGACCTCATCTTGTCTATGGTCACACTGGAGGTGGCAGAGTTCACACAGTGGATATCCATTCACTTAGAATGGGCGTCAATGATCAGCAAGAACATCTTTCCCATGAAAGGTCCCGCATAATCTACGTGCACTCGCGACCAAGGGCGGCCCGGCCATTCCCAAGGGTGTAATGGCGAACACGGAGGGGTCTTTTGGTGACTCTGACAAGTAACGCAACTTTTCACCTTCTCTTCTAAATTTGTGTCCATTTTTGGCCACCATACATAGCTCCTGGCTAAACTCTTCATTTTGACTATTCCCGGGTGAGTGTCGTGTAATATGTTCAACACCTCTTCTCTCCCTTGAGGTTGTACTATGACCCAAGCTCCCCTTAAGAGGCAGCCAGCATGTACACTCAATTCTTCTCTTCTAATAAAATAGGGCTTCACGGCTTCTTCGTCTACCTCTGAAGGCCATCCTTGAAGAACACACTGTAGTACTTGGGAAAGCACTGGATCGCGGGCTGTCCACAATTTTATCCTAGTAGCATCTACTGGGCTGGTGTTGATAGTTTCTAGGACGTTTACAATGTCCCCTGGGATGGGTGTGGACCCCGGGAAATCCAAAACGGGTAGGCGACTGAGTCCACGAAAATTTTCGTTGTCTCGGGCGAGCATGGTTTCTCCTCCTTCCAAGTTGAAAATGTTCACTGGAAGTGTATGTGTGCTGCTCGCTAGTGTATCATCAAAAATTATAAAATAGGAAAATAAAAAAATAGAAATAAAGTGTGAGTGGAGTCTTGTACAATTTGTCTAATTTATTCGAATTTCGCCCACACTGGACTCCAAAAAAAAAACACACGGTAAACAGAATGCACCATCTAGATATTTAGAGTATGCTAGCCGGGGAAATCTTTTCAGCCAGCTCCACACAAAATGACGGAGAGAATTCGAACATTCCACTGACACTGGGAAGTCAAATAGCTCACCTGGTTGACCGTTCCACACATTCTCTATGAACTTGAGCTTGTCTTGGTCCGAATATCAGCTGATTTCCTTGAAAAGTAAACCAAATCAGTACAGTACTGAGAACAGCCCTCCTTCCAACAAACTGGATCGCCTCGAACCATGGTTGTAAATCAAAATCTGGTTTTCCTCCGTGGCAAGTTAACGATGAACTCTATTAAATCGGAACTCAACAAGAACAAACGAAGGGATTTCTAGGGAGAGGCTTGCCTTTATATACGATTGTCAGTAGTTTCCACGGTAGTTTGCGGCCTGAATAGCCAATCACAACCGACTTTGAGTAATTCGCAAGACAATGTGAATGTTTCTGGCCAATCGAAGTGGTTTTTGAGTGATTTGTGACAAAATCCATATACCATCCAGTCCCACCCGCTGGGTACAAACTTTCTCCGGTCGTGCCAACGAATTTTGTCGCGTTGTTCTCGGAAGTATCGACAAAGGACGAATACGCGCGAACGGAGACTCGTCGAATTCGCTCGGGAAGGGCTTCGTTTGCTGTGTGATCGACGGAATAACGAGATGTGACGCTTTTTTCTTTGTTTTATTTCATAATAAACAATGAAACAAGAAGGATAATTGATTTCTTGAACTACAATAAAGAACCTGAGAAATAACAAACGCAGGTTTGGAAACATTTGAGTGATTTCTGGAAATCACTTGAACTACTCTGGATCCACCCCTGTTTTCACAGCAAAAACTACAGCTAGTGCTTCTTTATCTAGATGACCGCAGTTCCTCTGTAAGCGAGGCGTATGCTACAGGTCTCTCTGACGATCCATCTTCCATAACATGGGATAGAACTGCACCAACACCGTGGGGTGATGCATCACAGGATACCACCAACTCTTTCTCAGGATCATAATGTACTAGTACGTTTGATGATTGAAGCTGGTTTTTGGCTTTATCAAATGCTTCTTGCTGTTTCCACCTCCCACTTCCAAACAACATCTTTCCTCAGCAAACTATGTAGTGGTTCCAGAATGGACGACAGGTTAGGTATGAACTTCCCACAGAAGTTAGGCATACCAAGGAACGACTTCAGCTCAGTGGTGTTTTTCGGTGCTGGGGCCTTCACTTTTGCTTCAACAGGATGAAACCCCTTTGCATCACCTCGGTGCCCCAGGCACTCCAAAACTGGCTTTATGAATTGACACTTTACTGCCTTGAGTCGTAGACCAGCTTCCGAGAGGCGAGTCAAAACTCTCTCGAGGTCGTCCAAGTGCTCTTCAGTACTGCGGTCTGTAATAAGGATGTTATCTAACAGAACACCCGTTGAAGGGATTCCTTGAAGAAAACCCTCCATGGTTCTCTGGTGCCGAGGCTACCCCGTAAGGGAGTCGGTTATACCTGTACAGGCCCTTATGTGTGTTAATCGTTAAAAATTCCTTAGAGTTCTCATCCACAAGCATCTGTTCATAGGCATGGCTTAAATCTAGCTCAGTAAATGTTTGACCTCCAACTAATTTCCTATACAGATCATCAAGCTTGGGGATAGGATAGCCACCCAGTTTTGACACTTTATCAACAGTAAGCTTATAGACTCCACAGACTCTTACAGTGCCATCACTCTTCATGACACGGACAATCGGGGTGGCCACTCGGAATACTGGACTGGTTCAATGGTCCCTTCCCTTTCAAGTCTTTCTAGGTCTTGTTCAATTTTCTCCCTCAGAGCATGCTTTATGGAAGATAGGGGTAGCTGTGGGGTCAACATGGATTTTGGCCTTTGTCCCTTGTAGAGTTCCAAGCCCCTCCTCGAACAGCTGGGCATGTTTTTGCAAAATCTCTTCCAGTCGCTTATTGTGTGACGAAGGTTGTTTAATTATGGGCCACTTTAGCTTGATTTTCTCGAGCCAGTTCCTACCTAGCAAAGCAGGCCCCGTGCCCCCTTGCCGCCTACAACCAAAAGCGGCAAGGAGTATTCAACCCTGTCATAACACACATTCACAGAACAAGACCCTTTAGGTTTGACCTCTTCCCCGGTATATGTGCGAAGGACAATTCCTGACTCTTCAAGTTGGGGTGCTTGACCTGCTGAAAAAAGGTAGTTGTATAGTTCCTCGCTAATCACAGACAAGGAGGCCCCCGTGTCAACTTCCATTTCAAGGGGTTGCCCAGCAACACTTAGCTGTACTTTGTAGGGTAATGGGCGTTGACTGCCAAAGTTAAACAAGGAATATGCACCCACACCCTGTTCCTCCCCTGGTGTTTGCATGGCACCTTCAAGAAGATTGGTAGGCTCGGATTTGCTTGATTTCTGCTCATTAACTGGCTGTGGTTGTTTTCCCTTTTTTTTAGCTGGGCAAAATAGAGCTAAATGGCCAACTTTACCACAACAATAGCATTTGGCATCTTTAAAATGACAGCCTTTGGGGTAGTGGTTGCCGCCACAACGAGAGCACTTAACTTCGCTTCCCTTATTAACTTTGACGTCTACTTTGTTGACAGAAGCATCCCCTCCCTGACCGTCTGCCTTCTGTATCTCTGAAGCATCCTTATCTGCTGCTTCAATGGCGAGAGATAGATCAAGTGCAGGTTTCAATGTTAATTTGGGTTCCGTTAACAATCGGCGCTGTATTCTGATATCACGAACACCACACACCAGCCGATCACGAAGCATCTCGTCTAACGTAATTCCGAATTCAGAGTCTTCAGACAGGTGTCTTAATTCAGCTAAAAAAAAAACAACTGTCCCACCTGGTTGTTGAGAGCGTGTGTTAAACTTGAATCGCTGAACAACAGCCGAAGGTTAGGCATGAAATGGTCTTGGAGGATTTTTGCTAAATCCTCATAGCTTTTATCCTTTGGATCTTCTGGGGCAACCAAACTTCCCACCAGTTTATAGGTTTTCGCTCCCACACAAACCAGAAAAATGGATCTCCTCTTGTCAGGATCTATGATTTCATTCGCTCCGAAGAAATGGTTTACACGCTCCATGTCATGGCGCCAATCTTCAGTTTCGTTGTACTCGTCCAACTTCCCAAACGTGGGCATGATTCACGTAGACTTCCCTTCCTTTGCCTATCTTGCAGTGGGCGTCCGTACACGTTCCTCGTCGCCAAAAATGTAGTGTATCGAGCGACTACACAGCTTAAATACTCTCACGGAACACAACGAGTCAACAGCAACATGGTTCGGACAGCAGAACAACACGACAGGGGTCACGTGACCCCTAACAAGGTCCCAGGACCGCACAGTGTGCCTGTACTAATCGATCATGGGCAACGACTGTGGGCAAAGCTGGCCCACACCAAAATCGTAGATTTTCTTCAGGTGATCTTCAACATCATAATTCAAAACCCTCAGACTAGCAATGCAGCTTCTCAGAATAACAAGCAGAGACAACATCAGAAAAAAACTCAGAATCTTCGAGCAAGAGAAAAGCTCGTGGGGGGTGGGATTTGCCCAAAACGAAAACACGTGATACTGACGTCATACTGAGTCCCAGCTTCCCACATAGTCTATACAGGCAACGCACGTTGCATCCACTATATTGAAAAAAGAGATTAATAATTGGCTCAAATCCTCGGCAAATTCTTCAGAACTAGTTAGTGTTGACCAAAGATTTGGACGACATTTGCGATATCTCCCAAAAAAGGCATCAATGGTACAGGATAACTGCAGAAAGAGGTAGACAACCGTGAAGCCCTGGGGAAGAGGTTGTGTTTGCTCAGCTCAGGCTCTTTTGGTAGAGCTGGAGAGAATGGTGGAAAATTTCACACGTTTTGTGAAAAAGAAATATCCTAACTACGGCCTAAAAACATAGCAAGAACAGGTATAAATACTACTCGACGAATGACAGCTGGTTCCAGTTTGCCGCTTTGTGCAGCTCGTTCTCTCTTACGCGGAGAAAATTTTCAAGAAAAACGTCTTGGGCCAGGGTAGATAACAACTGTTATGTGAAAAGTATCTGCTAGACGTCTATTTATCCCAGAGAAAAGAATGGTTCCCGAAGAAAACCGTTAGTCTGGTCCCATGCTAATTCATGGATAACAACTATAATCACAATTTGAATTCTCACCTTTCTGTCCTTTTTTTCCTTGGTGAACTCCGGCAAAAACTGGGCCTCTGGTTCAAGCACCATTGAGTAGCTTTCTTCAGTCTCGAGCGTAGAGACTATATCTGACCTACTGAGAAGGAACTGAACATCGCTCGGAGATTGGATGGAGGACTTTGCCCGTTGAAGTGCATCCTCTAAAAATGTTTGGTTTACTCGCAACCGTTCTAGCTGCCCAGATAGGATGGATACCTTGGGTTGATATATACTGAACAACTTATTCATCAAAACTTGCTCTCGGTTAGATAGTGCGGAATGAAGCTATAAACATAAAAAAGTAAACACACACTTAATAATAAAATCCACGGATCTATGCCACACAAACAATCCAGACAAAAAACGCTGGATAGGTGCGTTCCGAGGTGCGTAGCCAGCGTACAAGGGAAATGGGAGACGTCTTCACATATGCTACGAGGTAGCCTCTAACGCAAACGTTCAGTTTTTGGAGCTTCGTCACGCCTCGCGTCTGCGTGGGAGGCTAACAGTAGCTACGAGGTTCAATAATCATGTTCAAGGGGCAACCTACCCTTAAATATCTAAATCATTGGTCTTAGTTAAGGATAAGTATTAACAATTCACTGGTTTCTGAATTCCATGTCGAGAATATAATGTTGAGCTTTATCTAACCACCAGCATGAAACGCCATTCGGTAGACAAAATGCTGATTATAACTCGTAAATGCTTAGGAATAGTGTTTGCTCCTTCTCGATCTTTCGAGCCAATGACGAAGATATGCCTTACGTCTCTAAAAAAGCTTTGAATTTCAGAACGCCGTTCTTCGTAAGCTTCCTCCATAAAATCAACTTCTTTCATAACTTGATCTTTAGCAGCTTCAATCTTTTCGACTTGAGAGCTGGCTTTGGTGACAAGCGGCTCCATCTCCTGTCGGTATTTTGAAGCAGCTTCAGCTACTACTACACACTTGTGTCCACTATGATCAAGGGCGTAGCAGTCCCTACAAATAACACGACCACATTCTTCGTCGAAAAAGCGGAATTGATCGTTATGCTCTGGACAGAGAACAGAAGCAAAAGCAAGCTGAGGGTTTGCTTTCAGTTCCTTGAAGGTAACAACTCGATGCTCACGACTTGCCTTGTTGCGAGTATGAAACTGAGCTGCAGTCTTGCACATGTTTTCTTTGCAGTCCAAGCAAAAGAAAGTCGCTGGGTGTTTCTCAGGACAAGTTTCACAATCCTGCGAGCCTGTATGACCTGTATTTCCAGCTTGCTCTTTGGGTGCTTGATTCACGATGTCCAGCAGCGCAAAATTCTTTAACAGACCTTGGACTCCAGAAGGGACTACAACTGGATTTCTGCATGTGGGACAATCAATGGTGATACCATGAAGTAGTCTCTCCAAGCAGCTTGAGCAAAAGCTGTGTCCACAACTCAGCAACCGAGGACATTTTTTTTCGCAATTGTAACCTTCATAACATATTGAACACTCCGGTCCCTTGGATGCCATTGTCTGAAATAGATGAAAAAAATCAACATTTTTCATAAATGAATGAAGAGGTAATTATCATAACGATAAAAAAAATTTAATGAGAAAAAGCGATATCTCAAATTTGGCACGTTTCTGTCGACCCTCTTGAGCATTGTTTTCACTGCCAGTTTTCATTCTCCTGGACTTCTTTCAGCCTCTTAATTAGAGGAACCTTTTCACAAAAATTGTACATCATACTGCCATACTGTTTCGTAAAAAGCAACGTTTTAGTTCACTTATCTTCAACTGGAGTTTTGAAAAATTAAAATAAGTACTATAACAAATGAACAAAAAGATGAAATATGTTTGCGAAGATAAGCGATACAAAAGAAATTACTGGAGCAATATCTGATTCACTGAATATGATGTATATGAAACAATTTACGAACACTTACAGTAACAGTTACGAATCAAAGGTGCAATTGACAGTGAAGTCTTAAAGCGATCATGATGTCACTGTGGTGACCTCTGTAATACAGACACCACTCTAATACGGACACTTTGCTCTCTCCTTACGGTGTCCGGCTACGTCTGTTGAAAGAATGCAAGTCAATTTTTAAATTTTTAAAAGTTTAAACTTTCCGAGTTCATGAGATTAGCTACTAGGGCCAGTTAGAACACATATTATAGCGGCAATGTGATACTTCTCAAAGTCACAACAAATAGTAAAACGGCTGGTACATAATGAAAAGCCTACATTCAATATGGCTTGAAGATTTTCAATTCAAAATTTCTTGTTGTTGTTAATGAAATAACTCAGTGATTTGCAGTAACATATTCTGAGATGAAAATGACAGGAAAGTCGCAAAAAAAAAGCAGACAAGCGTGACGAAAGCTCATTAATCTAAACCAGTAGTACTATGCCTAGGGTTAGTGCAAATACGTGTTAGAGTTTTTGTGTAAAACAAAGTGTCCCTTCATCTTGTGCATCATTTGTGCATTTTGCGCAACGCAATAATTAGCTGTAGCTGTAGTGAGTTTAATGCGGATTGTTCGAGAAGGTAAACACGACGCTGATTTATTCGGAAAAAGATACATCCAGTTAGTGAACTTTATTACTAAACTCGTACCTCAAAAAGTCAACAAAAAGAAGTAAACGGCTAGCATAGTGTTGAAATTTTATGGGAAAAAGAAACTCTTGCCACCCTGTCACGGTTGAGTGGCTAGGCCATTTCCGAGTTTCCCAAAGCCTCTGTTTCAAAGCAAGGCTAAGTGCAAAGCAAGTGATATGAAAATGATTTTTTATTCTGATGAAGATGAAACTCATTATCACAAAAGGTTTTGCTCTTGCCTCGTTTTGAAAGTTACGGTTTTTGGAACTTGAAAGTGGCCTATGGAGCAATGAGCTCATGATGGGCTGCATTGTGGGATTCCTGTAGCCTGTATTTCATCCGATTACTTCGAGTCGCTATTAGTCCCGCAGTAACGTCTGAATCGACCGGCCGTTAATGCCGTCCAGTGACGTCAGTACTTCTTTGCTTTAATCCATGCAAAACGTAAAACACGATTTTCAAGTGGCAAACCAAGAAAAAACGTTTGGAAATGTCTACATGATACAGAACAGCTGACAGAATTGCTTTACTCTTTTCGATCGTAATTCATGATTAACATTCAAGCTATCAGCTGCTTGCAGTACTCTGAACCGGTTGTAATTCAGACTCGGTCGCAATCACGCAATGAAATGAATACACACACGGAACACTTAGTTCGAGAACATAACAATTCAGTTCCTTTAATTGAAAAGAAGCTATTTGGTCCTTAACGAAGAAAAGAGAAAACAAGGAGACAAGAAAGAAAACATGACACTGGTCACAGAAACTTCACAGAAACAAAATCACTGCGGAAACAACAAAGCGCCTCTAAATGAAAAACCTACCGACTCTCTGCAATGATTCTTCATTCGCAGTTCAATTTGGCAATTCAGTTTCGAAGACAAGGGCAATTTTGCTGTTTAAGATAAAGATTATCGAAATGTTTGAACTCCACGCAGGCATGCCACCGATGCGATCCGCTGAATATCAAGTGCAATCCCGCTAAAATTTTTCATAATTATACATAATTATGCGAATGTTTAGACAATCAACCAATCAAAATCACTACCCGGTTTTCAGGTAATAGTGACGTCACTGGACGGCATTAAACGGCTGGTCGATTCAGACGTTGCTGAGAGGAGAAAACGACTCGAAGCAATCTGATGAAATTCAGGGTGGGATTCCTGTCGAACAGAACAATCCTGATGATCTAAAGGCGTTCTTGGTGAATAATTGTTCATTTTCAAAACTTGTTACAAAACACGACAATGTGTTATTACAATTCACGACATCTAGGCTTATGACAATTTACGACAACGTGTTATTACAATTTACGACAGATATTACGATTTACGACGACTCTTATTACAATTTACGACAGGTATTACAATTCACGACAGAACACGTGTGTTGTAGTTTTTATCTTGTAATTTGATAAAAACAATTATTATCTTAATAGTTATTGCAATACCAACAAGAAAGAGTGTTTAGCACCATAGATGATTCGGGCTTGGTCGATAACGGGCAAGATGAAACTAGACGATAGCAAAACAGAGTTGCTTATCACAGGTAAAACAAAGATTCAAATGATTCTGTAAAAGACTAAAATTTTAGCTGTCTTACGGCTAACGGTCAACCCCATTGAGACCCTCTTGCTTTTGCGCCTTCTGTCTTCTAGCCTTTTTACCGCAAGACGATACAATACATTTATCACCGCTGACCTCCCATGCTTTTCGACACAACTGAGGGCAAGGGACACACTGATTCAAAGGGCACAGAGGGGTTATCTTTGGCCTTAATTCCAGTCAGATTTTACAGTTCACAGCGCCAATCATCTTTGTTCAATGACGAATCGAATGCAAGCTTAGCCGATCAAAGCTCTGTGAGTTCCAGTAACAAATGTGGTAAAATTTTGTTCAATGCTCGGTAGGAACAAGCACTGATCGCGTGCCCGTTGCTATACCAAGGGGAACTGGGTACTCCCTATAATGGCCCATTCAGGAAGGCTCCGACCGAAAGGGGTACCTTTAATTTATCAGGCTTCAGGTATATGAAAGGGTAGGGATTTTACTATTGGAAGTATATAAAAGGCCAGAAGAATCTGTCATTTCTGTCTATAAAGAAGCCCAAAAGGGCTGACAGATGTATTTTATGGTTGTGAAAAAGTCGTGAAAATTTCCTGGCTTTGTGTGTGATGTATTCATATTCTAAAGACGGTGCATTTACAGCAGTTAAAAGGGATGCAACGTTCTAAACTGGGCATGTGAAAGGGGTAGATACCTTTTGTAAATGGAAGGCATACGAAAGGGGTTCCTTTCCTGTCGAAAATGGTATATAAAAGGGTAAGGGGTTGGACCTCGGGGCTGCACTTCCTTGTGTAAAACTTTGTTGAGTAAAAACCATTCAGTGTGCTCTTGAAATTCAAAACTATGCATTTATTTTAAAGCAGCCTGTTCCATCAAGCAAATTATCTCTATTTAATCACTTCAATTCTGGGTTAAAAAACAAACAAAGTCTATGCATAGACTAATGTGAATTGAAATAAAAAAATATATATATCCACGAAAAAAACAGTCATAAAAATGGTAAACATGTAAGATTTTAGACATTTTCGTTACTGGTCACGTGACCATGGGCGTGACACGATGACCTTATTTTTAGATTCGCATACCACAAGTGCACTACTACAGTAAGGCGGTACTGTGCTATAAAATGACCAATATATGACAAAGAGAGTCTAATTTATACGGCCAGAATTTTCCCTAGCAACCGGCCCCAAATAAAAAGATAGGTCACATAGCCCTTAACTGAGCTCTCATTTATGGAAAACGGACGGTTTAGCGAAACCCGGTCCTTGCATGTAACATAAGAGATATGACAACAGTGCATTTCAACTCGAGCTTTGCGTTTCCAAACAGACCTAACCTAAAGTTTCTTTTAACGTCGAAAAAGGCTGCGATTCTTGACAAAACTTGTCAAAAGAAAAGCATATATCGGAAAGAATCTCGCCGTTCTCTATCCCAATGTTGTCATTTAAAGTAATGGTAGTCTCTACACCAGAGCTTAAGTAAACTTAGAAATACTTCAAGTCAAGTCAAGTTTCAAGATCGAGTTTTCTGACTTACAGGTAACGCTTCACACCGAGCGATGTTTATTTACTTCAAGAAAACTTAATTCTGTGTTCAATGTAGTTTTATTAAGATTAAATAACATTTGTACTGGCTACTCCGGTTGAAAGGATGCAAATCACTTAAAACTTTCTTGAATCGTTTTTTTAAAACAATCCGACTTTCATGAGATGCAAATTAAAGTGACTCAACATGTCAGTTTGGCCTTAATTCACATATTTTTGTTACCAATGTGATATATACGCCCAACAAAATCGTTAAAAAATGGTAGAAAGACTGGTCCATTATGAAACGCATGAGGTGTTAAGGGCTGTCAGTCGGCTGCAAGCACTTTGACTTAAAATCTATTGCTATCGTTTAATAAACTAGGTGAACTGAGAACTTTGTTAACTTTTTCGTGTCAAGTCAATCCAACCAGGTTATGGCCGGAATGCATGGCGTGAAAATGCAAGAAATATACCATCTCTTTATTTGCGTAAAAAAGACGGGTTGAACTGAAAAACAAAGTATTTATTTGATGTCAAGCTTACATTTAACTTGAGACGAAGCAATACGATTTTATTTATAGATTCAACTTGATTTCGAAACGAATGCGACTTGGGAAGTGGAACTGAAGGTGATCGGGGCGGGGGAACTGCATCACTGAGCAAAGCGATGAAAGATTAATAAGCTTGAATTAGTCTATTCTACCGCCTTACACAATAAGCTTCTCTTGGCAATATTTCAATTAGAAGTTGTACCTACCTTAAATGAGGCAGAAAGCTGAATAAAGCCTAAATGCAACAATGAACATGAAACGATCTTCTAGCGAATGTAGTTC